ACTGACTTGATTATCCCATTCTCTCTCTCATACAGTATTTCAGATATTTGTTTAGTTAATGGCTTGATCACTATTTCTGTGAATTTTTGAGCCTGGGAAAATAATAACCTGTTATTACTTAAATTCTGACTATTTTCATTGGATTGATATTTCCTGTTGAGGTGATCTTAGTATCTGCTTTAATATTAAATATCAAATTATTTGCACTCAGAATGGTGTTATACGCGTACGTCTGATTGACAGTGTTTCTCCTGGCAATTTTAGTTCCAATTTTTATTTCTTTTGAGTATCCATTTCTACAATTTTGATGTCACTCAGTTCTAAAAAGGCTCTAAGTGGCGGACAAATGATGCAAAATAATAAGTCTTAAAAGAAACAAAAAATAATTGTCTCCTAACCAGTAATAATCCATGAAAAGGGCCTTTGCTCACTTTCCCAATTTTGAAGTATTTTGTTGTGCTGGTTTCTTGTCTAACTGTTGCTTCCTGGCCATCATTCAGATTCATCAATAAGCAGATAAGTTGCCTTAACATATAGAAGTTGCCTTGTATAATTCGCCATGATCTACACAACAAATACAAAAATTAATAGAGCTAACTAGTCTAATGGTTAAGGTATCAGGCTAGAAAGCGGGATATCGTGAGTTCTAGTCCCACCTTAGGCAAAAAAAAAACTATCTGGGTGATTTTGGACCAATTACTCACCTCACAGGGTTGTTGTTATGGGGAAAAGAGGAAGAAGAACGTTTGTTGAATATGTTTGCTGCCTTCTGTATCCATCAATTGTGTTTTTAGGTATTGCTGAAGCCTGGAAGGAAAAACTGGAGAATTCTCTTAGCATATGAAATAATGCAACTGAATGGTAGTTTTATGATTAGAATACTATATTTAGCCAAGGGTGATTAGACACACAAGAAATGTGTCTTGGGTACAGAAGCTCTCAGTGTACATGCAAAGCAACAGAGTAATAATAATCATAATATGATACCAATAAGAGGGGGTAGTAGTAGAGAAGATGGGAAGGATAAATACTACAACCGTACATCATATACTTAGACATAGAACAATACTCAGTGAAAGGCAGGCTGGTTATAATTGCTTTTTCTGCAGTTCTAGGTATCAGTTGGAGTCTGTATCTATCCTGTTTGGCTGCTGTACCAAACCAGACTATTATCAAAGTACAGATGAGAGACTCAATAATTCCTCTGTAGATCTGGGTCAAAAGCTCCCGGGGCTGTTTGAATTTCCTAAGTTGACACAGGAAGAACATTCTTTGTTGTACCTTTTTAATGATGGTTTAATGATGGTTAGGTGTTCATTTCAAACCCTGGGAGATTATAGAACCCAATAATTTTTTGGTTCATGATAAAGATTCTTTGTCACTTTTGGGGGGAACTGGAAAAGACCCCAAAGATGCTTTTTTAAAAAAAAAAATTTAAGAAGGCAACTGGCCTTCCTTTTTTTTTTCTTTGAAGATGTTTTGCTTCTTCAGCTCTGACTGGATGGTGGGGAATGGAAGGATAAGATTCAAAGCTTTTGAGGTGAAGAAGCGTCTTGGATGAGAAGCGAAACGTCTTCAAAGAAAGTCCAGTCGCCTCCCAAAAGCATCTTTGAGACAACGATGACCTGGATGATTGAGAATCTCCATAGACATTTACTAGAAAAGAAATGGATATTTCTAGACCTTAGCTCACTTCTTTGCTTTTCCATACCTACAATGGATTGGATAAACAACCACGGTGTTCACTTTATGAGTACAGCATTTGCTTTATGACTGCTGCAAAAAAAGGTCATAAAATGGGCCATGGATATATGGTGATCTGCTTAACAACTATTATATTTTTATAACCAAAATTGCAGACTCCATTATGGTTGTAAGTCGAGGTCTATCTGTAAATGAAAGTGCTAAAAATATATATTAGAAAATATGAATTGATGCCATCTAAATTATTGGTTAGAGAATATAGTAGAGAACAGGAAGGCCTGGAGGAACATTGTCCATGGGGTCACGATGGGTCGGACATGACTTCGCAACTAACAAGAATAACAAAATTATTGGCAGTAATCAATTCAATTCCTAAAGATAGGATTTGGGAAAAGCTGGCAGTGCCTTCTGTTGATTAAAAACTATTTACTTTTGATGATGACATTTCATGAAAGCATTTCAGAACAAGTGAGATTTCCCCCCAGGATGTCTCCTTATGCCAGTCCTTACCCAGAAGGACGTGAAGCAAACTTCACACTACCTTCTTTTCTTTTTAGGATTGACATTAATATAAATTTATATTATCCAGAATTGGCTAATAAATCTGTTTCAAATTACTTTTATATTTATTTTGGGTAGTAAAACATGCAAATAGGTTTAAGGCAGTGTGTTCAAGCTTTGGTCTTGTACTCTGGAAAAAGTATCCCATTATTCTTTTTTTTAGAACTGTACTCTTTGGTAGGGAAAGCTTGCCAACCTTATCCGCCAATGGAAAATAAATAACAACAGTTTAGGGCAAACTAAGGCCTTTAAGTATCTGTGAATTATTTTTCAACCCTCTGCTGCCTGGAAAGAATAAATAAAAGCTGTTGCAGATAAGACTGTCGATGTGATTTAGCATTTTGCTTTTAGCATAAATGATAATTATATACTCACTGCTTTAAATATCTGTAAAACTGGAGTGATTCCCCTTTTGTTTTCATAAAAACATTTATAAAAACTCAAATTTTCACAAACAGTCCAATCCAAATGTTTAAGCTCGATACATTCTGAGGAACCTCAAATATAAAACTCAATAGGTTAGGAATCCTGACTACTTCATTTAAGGGGCTTTTAAGGTACTCTTGACACCTTAGATTTTGGTTTAAATGGATGCCTAAGGAAAAATTTCCCTTGATTCTTTTACAGTTTTCAGTCATTCTGGGGGGGTGGAGGGGGAAAAGAAGCAGTTTTCAATTGTTGACTACTGCAGTCTTACAACCCGGTATTTGGTTCCATTGGGTTCAGGAGAGCCAATATAAAGTTAAAAGAGAAGACACCGATTTTAAAAGCGATTGAAGCTTAGTCCCTATGGGAGTAATTTGGGGTTGAAGACCATTGCCTTTCTAATTTGGATTGGCATTTCTTCCTCCTAAACTGTCTTGGCAGGTCTGATGAAGAGAAAGCTTGCCATCAGAGTATCTGCAGAAATATCTAAAAATATGGCTAATTTTACTAATTGGTACTTATTTATCTACTCACATTTGCATGCTGTCAAACTGCTAGCTTGGCAGGAGCTGCAGCAAGGAACGGGAGCTCACCCCATCGCGTGGGTGAACTCTTGTTACTTGAACCTGGGCTGCTAGCTCCCAGTCAACAAACTCAACATTTTAACTGCTTAGCCACTCTACGTTCTTCTGACATGGTCAGAATTAATTGTTTTCCACATATCTTCGGGAATTTCAAAAAAAAATTTTAAATAAAGGTTTTTTGTACTCTGCCTCTCTTTCTTCTTGACAGCTCATCTTTGACCATAACTCAAAATTCAATCCAGATTGCAGTAAGTTCATGTGAAAGTAAGAATTCATAGGATGAATGATACTGCCCATACAGCATAGGATGGTAGTTTCAAGTTACTTCCCAATAGATGATTGGGATAGAATCATTTGTTGGAAACAATAGAATCTGGAATAAGCTTTGGAGAAAAACGATGTAATGTTCTGCAATATATCTTTCTCCCATACTGCAATCTGGAGAAAGTTATAAATATAGATATAATTATATTTTGTTAGTTGACAAGAAGGATGGGTGAGAATAAAACAATACAGAAAAAGTGAGCCATGTGGAGAACCAAGAATAGATAAAAATGGTGATAGTTTGGTCAGCATCTTTTTAGAAAAAGGTTTGTTATGAATATGGACTTTTAAGCATATATTTTTGATGGAAAGGGATGAACATAAAACCCTGATTGATTTGATTGAATATTTTGAAGGTTTTTGGGAGAATTGGTGAAGGTTTAACGGTACTGTTGGAAGAGAATAGCTCAGGGTCCTTGGTGCTCTCTGAGCTTAGTTGTTTCCTTGCAGACATTTCATTACCAAACTATATAACATCAGTGTTAGAAGGAAGTGGGGTTTGCTCTCTTGATATAAGGGTAATGAGAGGTTCATAATGTGGGCAGAGGCAATGTGAACCTAGAAGAAAAGGAAAGTAGTAAAAGAAACAAGAGTAAAAGTAGAAAGATTGCAAGAAGAGAAAGTATTATACCTGTATGGAAAAGATAGAAAAGTATAGAAAAGTAGGATAGGGAAATGAATGAGAAATGGATGTAAGGAAACAAAATTGCATGGAACAGAATGAAAAGAACTATTTTATGAAGCACCACAGTTATATGTAGAGTTATACTAATGGAACATGAAAATGGACCTGGTGGAATAATAAAAGAAGCTTTGGATAGGAAAAATAATCAGGCTAGAAAGTGGGAGACTATGAGTTCTAATACCATTTTAGGCTCAAAGACAGGTGTGACTTTGGCCCAGTCACTCTCTCAGCCCTAGGAAGGAGGCAATAACAAATTATTTCTCAAAACTTTTGCCAATAAAACAGCAGAGACTTGTCCAGGCAAATTACCAGGAGCTAAAAAAAAAACCCTGACTTGAAAGCAATATAGGTAAATATAGATATACAGAGAGATAAAGTGAATTGGCAAGACTCTAATATAAGAGAACAAAAGTCTATTTCTAATGCAGAAGTTAGAATTTCAATTGAAAGGTTGATTAAAGTTGCACTCTAGAACATCTAAATTTAAATTGCTTTATTACCATCATTATCATCACCTAGCACTTAGATCTTAGTTAATAAATCAAAAGAATATGAAGTTATGCTGGATATCACAGATACCTAAAAAATACAAAGAGTTACAGGAATTGCCACTGCATTATCATTTAAAATTTTAAACCCATCAAAGCTTCAATAATAGTTTTAAAACTAACTGAGCCATGTGAATAAGAATCTTTCTCTCTCTCTCTTTTGAAAAGGTCTGTCTGCAGATGGTGGTGCCAAGCGACAAGAACATCTGTCCCGATTCTCCATGCCAGATCTAAGCAAAGATTCGGGAATGAACGTCTCAGAGAAGATGAGTAACATGGGAACCCTCAATTCTTCTGTACAGTTTAGAAGTGCCGAATCTGTCCGCAGCCTAATTTCTGTTCAGCAGTACCAAGATGTAGAAGCCAACCTACACAATCTTGCCAATCCCATTGGATACAGGGACACCTCATCTCACGGAAGGATGCACCAGAGCTTTGATTATGAAGGCGGGATGGCAGGTAACAAATTGCCTGGACAAGACAATATCAGACATCCCCCAATGAGCGAACGCACACCCAGACGAACTAACATCCGAGAGGATGATCGGCGTTATCGCCCACACAGGCCCCGACGGTCCAGGCGTTCCCGCTCCGATAATGCTCTTCATCTCACTAGTGAACAAAACTATAAGTTGAAAGAGAGGCCCTCTCTGCGAGCCAGAGAGGACTACGACCAGTTTTTGCAGCAAAGAAGTTGCCGGGAGACCATGGAGCAGAACACCCGGAGAAACCTGTACGGTCAGTGTCCGAGGACCGTCTCAGACCTGGCTTTGCAAAATCACTTTGGCGAGAGATGGGGACCCTACTTTGCTGAATACGACTGGTGTTCCACGTGCTCCTCCTCCTCCGAATCTGACAATGAAGGCTACTTCCTTGGAGAACCGATTCCGCAACCAAGCCGACTCCAATACGTCACCAATGAAGATCTTCTTCACAAATATGGCTCGTACAGCATGCCTAAGTCTTCTACACTGGGTGGTCGAGGACAGTTACACAGCCGAAAAAGGCAAAAGAGTAAAAACTGTATCATAGCGTAGCCGCGTGACCCAAGCACAGTGTTAGAGAATGTAATTATTTCATCAACTTGCACTGCTGTAGGTTTTCAAGCGCTTTTTATTGTAACAAAACAATCCAGGCAAAACAGGGAGCTGTTAAGAGGAGGTCATAGACAAAAGGTCTATAAATAGTCATAATTGTTGGCATGGTGAATATATTTTGCACATTTAATTTGGGGGAGGAAGGGAGGGAGGGATAAAATTTATTTTAGCATGTTATAGTTACAAATTTACCTCCTTCCCATAAGTAGCTGCCATCCATTTAATACCCCGTTCACCCATATGTTTTTAGTTGACGTTGTTTTCTGTAATGAGCTGTTAGCTACTCGTTTAATCTCTTCTTCTTTTTTTCTTTCTTTCTTTATCTTGGCTTTTTATTTTCATCGCCTGTCTAAGGGGGCCATTTTCCCCACCAGATTGCAAAGAAGCGGATGTTAATTCCCGCATTCGTTCCGTCAATGAGAGTTTGGAGAAAATACTTTCGTATTTGGTAATGTCAGAAGAATGTCCTTGTAGGAGTCACTGGGATACCCAGGGACATCTATTGTGGTTTTTGGACAGAGCTAAACAAAGATTGTTTCAGAACCCTTGATCTTTTTTTGCCATTGCATTCCTTCAGGATCAGTAGAATTTTTTTCTCCCTGCTTAAAAGTATGTCATCTTTTCTTTTCTTTTTCTTTTTTTAATTCCTGAATTCTCAGGCTTGCAGGTTACTATTGGTCCATATCACAAACACAAAGTAGGAAATGATGATTGTTGGTTTGTTGGTTTTTTTAAATAGAAGCATACAGATACATTTACGCACACCATTAAGTGTAAAAGTTAAAAGACCCGGGTCTGAAAAGAAAGTTTACATCTCTTTAGAAAGGGGAAAGTCACTAAAATTTCAACTTTTTTTGGGTGGGTGGGTCGGGGAGGGTTACAACCAAAAGAATTGTAAATGGTTCTGTAGTGTCAGCATGAGCTTGTTTTGAGTATAGAATTGTTTACTGGTGCTCTGGTTTCCTGGCATATGTTAACTGCTGTTCATTACCAAGAGGTATCTTTTTTTCTGAAAGTCTTAATACAATGAATACATCCTAATCATATTACACTTAGGTTCTACCCTTGAAGGACCCATACTCGGGGTAGAACGGACTTCATTCTTTGGAAGTAGAAGAACACAACAATAGCTTCAACATTGGGTAGTTATATATATAGGGCTCACAATGTATTGTGTAGTACGGTGGACGTGAGGTTTCTCTCTCTCTCTCTCACTCTCTCTTTGTGCTTTAAATAATTGGGAGACTGACATCAAGACGTGTTCTTTATTGTTTCCAGACAAATGCAGTCAGAAAGAAGGAAATACGTTTCTGTTATTGTATATTTTTATTATAGGGTTGTAAAACGGGTTTTAGTAGATTCCGAGGTAAGTCAGATCTGGACAGCTGACGATACCTGTAATGTGGGTTCTCCAGAGAATGTAAAGACTCTGTTAATACAAACGTCTATTGAACAGATGGCAAACTACAAACTTGAGTGCGAGTGGGATTTTCAAAAGCAATGTGAGGGTCCCAGGAGCTTCAGCTGGACTTCAGAAGCAGAGGCTTTGGGCCCAATCCACCCGCGCCACTGGCAGACAAGCCCTGATGCAGTATTACTCCAACCGCGAGGGACAGTCAAGATTGTGATTTGGAACGCGATGACTGGGAAGGGAATCTCAGATAATGATGATGATGATAATGTATCCGTAACACAGCTAGCAATCTTTTGTTGTGTGAAAGGAGAATGTGATGATGATTTTTTTCCCCAAAAAAATAAAAAAGAAGGAAAAAGAAAAGAGCTGTGGTGATGTGTAAAAGCAAAAAAAGTCCAAGCTTCAACGAATGTCTACAATAATGGCCCCAATAAAAACTGAGTCCAGGGGTGAAATCCAGCAGGTTCTGACAGGTTCTGGAGAACTGGTAGCGGAAATTTTGAGCAGTGCGGAGAATCGGCAAATACCACCTCTAGCTGGCCCAGAGTGGGGTGGGAATAGAGATTTTGCAATATCCTTCCCCCTGGAGTGGGGTGGGAATGGAGATTTTGCAGTATCCTTTCCCTGCCACGCCCACCATGCCCACCAAGCCATGCTAACAGAACCGATAGTAAAAAAAATTGGATTTCACCACTGACCGAGTCCCTCTTTGTTAAAATAGATCAGGCGGTGTCACGTGACGTATCGGGACTTTTTTCCCCTTCACTAAACCAGGCAGGGGCGGGGCCAGCACGTGACGCATCCGGGCCGCGAGTTTGACACCCCTGAAATAGATTTTATTTTATGGTGGTTTCATCAAGGTTTACGTTGTTACATTTATTTTTCTTCAATCTGTGATATTTTTATGGTCGTCTCTATTCACAGAGATGGAATTTCTATTGCATTTCATTATAAGGGGCACTCAAGCCATGGGAGGGATGGAAGGAGATAAATAGATAGGCAGATAATGGATGGAAAGATAGGCAGAAGGACAGATGGACAATAGAAATAAAAACGCATGTTCTACTCCTCATATGAATTATTTCAGAGTCATGCAACTTCTCATTGGTTTAAATTCAAATGAAACCAATAATCTGGAAAATATTATAGGGTTAGTTATGTAGAGTAACACTTAGAACCTTAGAAACAATTCTATGGTTTCTCTTATTACACAATTTTATATTATTATATTATAAAATATGTAATACATAAAACTATTATGCAATTTTTAAAAATTAGGATCTATGAGTAAGCCGATATCACCATCACGCTAAATCACAAGACATGATTCACAAACCACAATGTCTTGTTTTTGCACATTGCAATAAGACAGCATCAAAAAACAACATTGTAGCACAGTTTGTCATGAGGATCCAGGAAATGGCTGAATTCAGATATTTATCTTCGCTGTGGTGAGTGCTGCATCAAAATTCAAGGTGACCTCTCTCTCCTCTCCTTTGCATACAAGAAATAGGAAGTTCCTATCTGGAATTTAGAAGAAATCAGGGTTTGCCTTTTTCCCAAATGTGGACAATAGACCAACTTAACAAACCATAAACAAACCAAATATGGTCACTTAGTTTGTAAGTGAGAATTGCTTGTGACACATTAAGAAAAAGAAACAGACTACAAGAACAGTGGTGAGTTGCTGCGGTGTACACTCTACATGTCACATGGTGGGATAACTTCTGAATGCAGATGATGAAAAACTAGGAAGTTTATTGACTTGACCATGAAAACCACATATATCTCATGAGAAGAGTGATGGTAAGTATAAAGTAAGCAGAATGGTATAATTAAATTTATGAAAAAAGTATTTTGGTGGCCTGGGATGGTGTTTGAGGAAGGACAGCAAAACCTCAGCAGGCACAGCCATAACAATAACAAAAGTGGAAATTTTCCAGGTGCTCTCCTAGACAAGATTTTTAAAGGATGGATGGATGGATAAATTAATTAATATGCTGCCTATCTCATAATCAAGTGACTCCGGATAGCTGGTTCAACCAATTCTGCTTACATGGATTTTTTTTTTTAAAGTGCCTTCTTTTTCAATCATGCCACTGATTTCTGGTAATCACAATGAAGGTATCTCCTGGACATACATGAAATTTGGAGTTTATTGTGATTTGGGGACTACAAGTTCTCACTTCATTTTTCATGATGTGATTTAATCATTTCTGTTCTTGGACTTTTATCAAATCCTAATGAAATGAACCACATATTAAACAACTAAAGGGAACATTCATATTATACATTGGACTCTCATTCATAACCAGTTTAGTGTAGTGGTTCAAGTGCCAGCCTAGAAGCCAGGAAATGGTGAGTTGTAGTACCAGATTAGGCATGAAAGCCAACTGGGTGACTTTGGGCCAGTCACTCTGTCTCAACCCAATTTAACTCACAATTTGTGAGTTAAGTTGGATTAAGTGAGTTATTTGTGTGGAAAATAGGAGAAAAGAATATTAGGTATGTTGACGGGCTTCAATTACCTATAAAATAATAAAGACAAGATAAAAATAATAAATATTTATCAATGAACTATATATTCAAAATGTACATATTAATATTGTCAAGGGTAAAATTTTAAATACCCCTGTTAAGAATATGGTCAAGTATTATGCACTTGAGGTTACTTTAAATGTCCATTTTAATACAAGACATTTTGATGCACTTTATCAAGGAACTATTGTCAAAATCAAAATCCCCCCCCCCAAATTCATACCCATTTACTTGAGAATAAGACCCCTGAACTGCATGGGTTGAACCTCTAGCAAAGTAAGTGTAGCAATGCATTGTAAATCATCTTTTACACAGCTTTAGTAAGCCACAAGGAGTGGCTTGTATTTTGAAGATGTATGCATATGACCTAACTGATCGTCTATAATTGTCAATAATTACGCTTAATTACTTCTGAAAATTATAGCTAGAGGACAGGCTGTTAATTGACGTTAATCAAAATGTTCCAGGGAGATTCGGAGATGAATTCTTATGGAGGATTTTGGCACCGCATCAAGAGGAAGAAAAATAAAAGCAGGAGTTTGAAATATGGGGACTCTGGTGTGTTAAGTACCTTTCACACAAGCCCAGACAGCAGGTTAAGAGAATTCAGCTTTCTCAAGATGCTGTTCTGGGATGAACCAATTTAACCCTTGACCTGAATTAACTAACAAAATCTGCCTTCATCCTTTGACATGCAGACAGATCCATGGTGCTATCCTCTATCCAGGTAAGTAACGTTATGCAAAGCAGAGAAAAGGAATAAATAATAAAATCTGGAAACAATGGGGGATAAGAAAGGGAAATTAATATAACTAAGTCTAGTTTTCTGCATTGATAGTAGCTTTCCATACCTTTCTGGTCTGACACACCATTCATTCTTTCCACCACTTCATACTTTACATTTATACTTTCTTTTTCCCTTGTAAATTCCCTTTTTTTTTTCAAAGTATCTCCTCCTCTCCACTGAGTCTTCTCGTTTCTCTCAAACTACTCACTCTATGTATTTGTTTTGCAATTTCATCCTCATTCATTCTTTTTAAATGGCCAACCCATCTTAATGTGCTTCTTTCATCCTCTTCATATATTTTTGCAATCAATCCCCATTTATCCTTCAGCCTATCTCTACATATGCCAATACTTAAGCAATCCTTTCCTGTTGCATTCAACTTTTTTTTTTATCCTGACACTCTAAATCTCACTTCCACTTATCCAAATGGGCAGAAGTCTGCTCTGATACATATATTTTCCATTCTTTGCGACTTGTTCTTTTGAGACTCCCCCTTCCCAGTTATTCCACTAGTATTTATGTATCTCAAATCTTTTTATTCCACCAGTATTTATATATCTCAAAACTTTTTTATTCCACCAGTACTTATACAGCATATCTCAAACCTTTTTGACTATTTTCCCATCTGTAGTAAAGGTACATAAATCAATCAATTATACATTTTTTTTGCTTTGTTTTTACATTTATACATTAAATCATTGTTTCTTAACATTGGCAACTTGAAGATATGCAAACTTCAACTCCCAGAATTTTCCAGCAAGCTTGTTGGCTGGAGAATTCTGGGAGTTGAAGTCCACACATCTTTAAGTTGCCAAGGTTGAAAAAGACTGCATTCAATCATAATTGCTCATTCCATTTTCTGGATCAAACCCAACCACCTTGGTCTTTGAGATATTCATTCGCTCAATTAGTACCACTTTATAAAGCCTTAGAAAGACCACATCTGGAACACTGCAACCAATTTGGGTCACCACACTACAAAGAAGATGTTGAGACTTTAAAAAAAAAGTTCGGAGAAGAGCAACTAAGATGATCAAAGGCCTGGAGACTAAAACATGAAGAACAGTTGCAAGATTTGGGTGTGGCTAGTCTAGAGAAAATAAGAACTAGGGTGATATGATAGCAGTATTCCGATATTTGAGGGGCTGCCACAGAGAAGAGGGGGGTAAATTATTCTCTAAAGCACCAGAGGGCAGGACAAGAAACAATTGTTGGAAACTAAACAAGGAAAGAAGCAACCTGGAATTAAGGAGAAACTTCCTAACAGTGGGAACAATTAGACAGTGGAACAGCTTGCCTTCAGAAATTGTGGGCGCTTCATCACTGGAAGTTTTTAAGAAGAGAGTAGACAGCCACTTGTCTGAAATGGTATAGGCCAGTGATGGCTAACCTTTTTGACATCGCGTGCCAAAAGTGGGGGGAGTGCAGGGGGTCCCACGCGTGTGTGCCCACACCCTTAATTCTATGCACCCCGCCCCCCTGTGCATGCGCGCATAACCCCCCCTGCACTCCCCCTGCTTTTGGCACACAATGGCACTGTGGGCCCGGTAGGCCTATTTTTCACTCTCCCCAGGCTCCAGAGCCTTTCTAGGAGCCTGAGGAGAGTGAAAACGGCCTTCCCCACAGCCCCGGAGGCCCTTCAGAGGCCGGAAACAGCATGTTTCCGGACTTCCGGTGGGCCCAGAAGGCCCGAAAATCAGCTGGCCGGAACTGAGCTCACGTGCCCATCAATATGGCTCTGCGTGCCACCTGTGGCACACGTGCCATAGGTTCTCCATCATGGGTATAGGTTCTCCTGCATGAGCAGGGGGCTGGACTAGAAGATCTCCAAGGTCCCTTCCAGCTCTATTCCAATTTCTATAGATTCCTATCTCCATCAATGACTCTATACACACCTTGTACAGCTATCAGCAAGCAAAGCTGTTTCAACATGGGTGTATATGTAACTTCCAGAAATCAACATTCAACATTTATGTGGTTGCGTATAAAGAATCTAACCTTGAAGTTGGTAGCCTATGAATAATTAAACCAACTATTT